GATTTAGGGAGAGTAAAGACATCAAAACAGATCACATTCTACATTCACCTTTCCTATAACTTTGATCTGATCACCACACTATATGTCTATATATGAAAATAGATGGATGTGTAGCCTAAGCAGCAGCAAAACTCTCTGAGTTTTAATGTGATTTTGGCCACAGACTACAAGTGATTAACCAGTAAAATCAAATCAGTGAACAGCGAGTAGGCAGCCAGGCTCTTTAGCCTTTTCACAATGCTTCTCTGTAGGACCATTGCCTCTCATTACAAGATACTATGCTGGGCAATCTCTCTCTCATGCTCATGAAGCTGCAAAACGTTTAGAGAGAGGACAGTGCTGGACCCATGGAACACACTGGCCTGCAGGTCTTGACATTTCAGATTTAATGCCATGCGGAAGATATGGATTGGGAAAACTATAGGTATGTACACAAAGAGGCAGCCAGGTGCAGATGCTGAATGCTGGGATGCAAATTAGACCACTCAAGTAGGCAGCCCCCAAGTCCCTTTAAATGCAGCATTGACTGGAGTGTACCTTCAAGCTATTGCTGTGGCTGGCTGCAGGTCATTGAGAAACAGCTGTGGATTAACTAGTGGGAAAAAAGCATCAACATTTACACTGAACAACATGAGCGGGGACTGAAGCTAGTCATTTATAAGCAGCTACACTGACAATGGTGAATCTTTTAACACCTAAACAACACAATTCTTACCCTAATAGCTGAAATTCCTTTAGAATATCAGCTTCAAAAACAAATCGTCTGACAATATCCTTAAGTCCATTACTATTTTTAAACGTCCTTAGTGTAGAGTAAACTGGGGCTATATAGAAACTGTAATAAGACATTCATTGTACAGTTACAAATAAACTGTACCAATAAAGAAATTGGTGCTCATCACCAAGATGAAGTTGTCTAAGCCCTCCTTTGATCTAAACACCAAAAATCCGGTTAACTGAATTGTTTTTTGACACTTTAAGTGTATCTAACTCCAAAGACAATACTGTAATATATTGTAGCCAACTAGTCCTTTGATGTGGTGATTGCATTGATTTCCTTTTTTCAGGTTGTCCCCTTTATTTCTACCTGGTAATCCTGAAAATGACAAACGTTTTGTTCCTGGGTGGCTGGGTCACTTATTCTATGGAAGGGGCCATGTTGGACTCCTTCAAGAATGTCATCTCCATTACAATGCTGAGGTGATTAGTATTTTACAGAAGATAGACAAGGTTGTGTGTTAGGTCACAGGAAGTGGCAAGGACACTGCATTTCTGGCAAGATCAACAGGTATTTTCTCTACTTGTTAAAAATGTTCTTAGCCTGAAAAAAAGAAAATCAATGCAGAGTACAGGTAAGCTACAATAATAACATTTTTCTTATTTTGATTTAGTTATCCTTTCAACAAGGATTGCTGTGACTAGTTCTACCCAGGAGCCACCGATACATGGGTACCTACTGTAAGCAAATTCTGACTTTTCAAAAGTCAACACTGAGGAACATATCACAATGTAATATGTGACAACCTCCCAACAGATGGCCTGCTGTGCATTGTGAGATGTGCTTGGGGCATTTCTAAAAGCAAAACATTGAATGCTGAATACCCATTGGGTTATAGGGAAGTCCAGCAGCAGTGGATTTAAAATTCAAAGAAACCGATCAGGGCCCGGGGGAAATTGTCTTTATTTGAATGGTTTATTTTCAGCTTGCAGGCAACGACAGGTTCGATATATCTATGAGCATGGGGCTCAATAAACAGATATTTCTTGCCAGTGTTATGGAATTTTCTGGAACCCTCACTGTATGCTTGTATGTCTGTAAATGTAGCCATTGAAGCCATTTGAGCAACAAAACAAATATGCGTTTTAAATGTTTTTCTTCTGAGCATGCCAAAAATGAGGGTAATGTTCATTGCTCTACATATACATCCCATTACATCTATGTTATATCAGAACATTAGGTTAGTGTCTTCACTAAGCTACAAGTGTATCTTTCTTCAAATCAACTCTCTAACAAACAGGTGAAAACTCTCCAACAATGCTTCCAATATACAAAGAACATCTGCTTTATAATCAGTGAGGTGACTAACAATACAATGCATAAGGACATTTCTGTCAAGTGCACCATGGGAACATTGCTTGTATGTATTATTTAGCCTTAAGAAAGGTACATTTTCATCTAAGCCGAGAAGCTCATAAAACTCTTGTAGAAGTAACAATATATGTATGACTCAATATTGAAATATGTAAAAAGACAATATCTCAATTCATCTTCCATTTTACACAATACGTGTTCAATACAATATTCTATGTATTGAGTAAAGAAATTAGAAGATGACATTTTCACTTGAAACACAACTCGTCATTTTACTTTCCTGGTTACATGTGAATTTAAAATGTCATATATTTACTTGAGTCAGATACAATGTAAATACAGCAAGAACAATGCCACATACGGGCATTATGATATACTTCTTATACTTCTGCCATGTGGATGGCTGAAGCTCAACTTCATCCTTCTTCTTGTTTTTCTTCCGTTTTCCTTTCAGCCGGTTTTCAAATGCTTCTAATTCAGCCTATAAAATGGAACATTCACAAATGTAAACTGCAATGTAAATTATACAGTTGTCACAGGGACAAATGGCTGCAAGTTTGGATATAACTCCAGCCAACATTTTACTTTGGATTGAATAGAGTGAGGGGGAGATTTCCCTTACATCCTGTCCAAGGGAGCAAACAGAGATGGATGGGAATCTCCTCAACAGGGACACAGACAGAAAGAAACACTTTCTCCCATCTACTAACTGAAATGTAAAAATGTCAGAAGGATTGCCCTTTCATCATTATAGTCATGGTATGTACCGTAGAAATGATAGTTTGGGAAAGACTACTGTTGCAAATTACACTGACTGATCACCTCTGTACTCACTAGCACAAGGGAGTGTGTGCTCTTCATACACAATACTCATTAACTGGATTCAGGTGCATGGCACTATCCTGCTAGGATCATGAACACCAACTTAGCTCTTGTGTGTGACCATCTCCGTCCTGAGGGCATATCTGAATTAGGTAACTAAGATAAGCCTTCATGTGCCAAAGTGAACTGGTCTAATGCTGCATGTGCTATCAATTAAGCCGCCATCGATGGAAAGGTTAGGACATACACACAGGCTGCTCCCCAATTGCAAGGAAATATTGAAGTGTGTAAGCAGGGGCGTCCCGAGGCTGGGTGACACGCGGTGCGGTAACCGAGTGTCACCCCGCCGAGACGTCACTGCACATGCGCGTCACGTCACCACGCGCGTGCGCAATGACATCATTTTTCCATGCACAGCTGCTCCAGATTTTGTCTGCTCCAGTTTTGATAAATTTCCTCAAAGTCTGTAATAATGCTGCATTGTTCTGAATTACATTGGATGCTATAGATAGCTACACTGACACATGATAACCAGTCTGGCTTCGATAAGGGAACCAAAAAGCCCTCCACTAAAACACTGAAATACACCACTTTCAAAACGTCATGAGATAAACACTAAGGCAATAGAACTGATGACCTCTTACTGAATGTTTGCTGCTTGGCCATCATGCCAATCCTCAGGATTTAATACTCTGGGGGAAATAGGCAGAATACAAATCAGTTTTGACTCCATATGCTGCTTATTTGTTTCAGGTCAGTGACTGAGAGGGTCACTGCAGATGAAACAAGGATGCTATGTGTGATCACATAAGACTAAACAGCAGTATGCAATCACAGAAAAGGACCTGGCATCAGCTGCACTGACTTCCTTGGTGGCGGAGAGGCCTGTCCAGGGGAGCTTTTCACAGAAACATGGGGCTGTAGCACCAGCGCAAGATAATAGTGATGCAGCAAGAAACAAATACCCCGGTGAGGCTGAGCTGTTCAGTTCAATAAACATTTAAACACTTCAATACAAAGCAGTTTTAAACCTGTTGACTTTATCACATTCTTTGTGAATTACTTATTGTGGTGTATTCAGTGCAAGCTGAGAGATGATCGATGTATGACAGCACTTCCCCAGGCAGTAATAGCAGAAATCTTAACAGGCTTGCATGGAACAAAGTGTAGTCTGAGAGGATGGGCATATTGCACACAGCGTGCTGGCTTGTTACGCCCAACCCTGACAACCTGAAAGCACAACAAGTCCTCTAGTCTCCTGAAATACGTTTTTTTAACGTTCATTTAACTAATCTACAAAAGTACCATCTTAAAGCAGAACAAAACTTGCCTTTTTAATGCAATCTCTGCTACATATTTTGGGAGAAAAAATGTGCATGCAAAGCTGGAAATATCTATCCTTTGTTTTTTTCCCCAGCAGTTTAAATATGCTGTGCAGGTGCTGCAGGAGGACCTCTCTATGACTGTTGGGTTGAGCTTGACTGGCAAGATATCCATAGAGAGAATTTTACCCTTTTTGCAGCAAGGGAAAAAAGGTATATTTTCACCTTAAAGTGATATTAAAGTCAAAGGGATTTTAAGCTATTTCAAATGCTGATAAAATCACTTACAATGAATGCTGCTTCTTAATGTTTCAAAGTTTTAGTTTCTGCAGGATAAGTGGGTCCCCAGAGCGCTGGTCCTGACTTCCTGTTTTAGAGTGACTCCTTTGTCAAGCTGAGTGCTATGCAGTCACCCTTGTGTGTGCCAGTAAGCTGTGTGTGTCTCCAAGCTACTCCCCTGGCCCCCTCTCCTCCCTTCTATAAGCAAGTAGATAAACAGTTGCTGGAGTCTGCTCTGTCCTTGGTGATCTTCGTACTGCACTGGAAGTTCAAGGAAGCTGAGTTGAAAGACTTGGAATCAGCTCTTCAGAAACATGGTGATTGTAAGTATTTGGGTAAAAATGTAAAGCAATGCTTAGCTGGGCAATGGATGTTTCTTTGATCTGGATTCATAATGGAAAAAGAGTTTGAGAGTTTAATACTACTTTAAATGTTACCTGAATCCTTGGTCACTGCCCAGGGCAGCTTTCTCTGTCATGTTGGCACTTTCTATCCAAACATCTCCTCTGTCTAGTAGGTCAGTCTCACTGCACATTGCCCCCTATAATAGCATGTCTGTGATGTGGCAGTGCAGAAAAAATAAAACTGAATAAATACCTAAAGCTCTGGATTGATGGCTACCCACAAGTTTTTATATAAGTCTGCACATAAAACAGTAGAAATAGTGTAGTGGTAGAAGCTCTTTGTTAAAACCCAGTTGTTGGCAAAAAGGTGAAAACAGTTGCTGCAGATTACTTCCTGCAAGGGAAAAATGACATCACTTCCCTCTGACACAGGCACCTCATTTATCAGCTCAGAGGAGAAGTAACAGAAGAGGTTTCACATGGAAGTTTCACACAGCCACACGGAAGAAATGTTGCAGATATGCATGCACGATTTTTCCCTAGATATTTTAGGATTGCATGAAAAAATGAAAAGTTTAGTTCTGCTTTAAAGTGTATGCACAGTGTATATTTTGGATAAAGTAGTGAAGGGTTAGAACCCATCAGGTTTTTTTTGCCGTCTGTGTCGGTGCGGATGAGCGTCACCCTTTCTATTTTGTTCTAATGACCAATGCCACCAGCACTTAAAGGGAAAATCCAAACGTTTAAGTTGTAACTAGAATAGGTGTAGAGGGGAAACCTTCCAAGTAGGACACTTGTTCCAGTGACAAGAGAGAATTTAACTTTCTTTGGAGAGATGGCCTCTTATTTCCTGTTTTGTTTCATCCTAAAAAATAAAGGAAAATCTCCCCAATGGAACACAGACTGCCAAAAGTATAGATAGTGGCAACTCTATTCAAAACTAAAAAAAAAGTACTTTATATTTTGTTTTCCCCTAGATATATGTGAGCTCACAATGCCTACTGCAGGAAAGGTAGTGCACAGAACTGCATGGTGCAAAAATACATTACAGAAAAACCCACTTTTCATTGCACCAAAACGAATATACACAGCAGTGTCTGACTACATTTGCTGCTGACATTCTATTTGTTTGCATTTGCATCTGAATGGGTAGAGTATTGGAGCAGACAGGTGCACCACATTTGCATCTACACCTTCCACAATCCCAAGGCATAAAACTGGACATAGAAAGTTATGTATTGCGAGTCAGTGATGAAACTGACCACTGCCCATCTAATAAGCTTTCAGGCAGCAGACTTTAGGCAGCTTGCAGGAGGAGGACGGCCCAGGGAGTACCTCTGCTAGTGCAGATGATTTTTCATGGTCCAGGGAGCAGGCAGGTGACACAGGAACCTGCAAGTCTGCCATGGCAAATAATGGTGTCACTATATTATGGCTATAGAATTTTGCAGGGTGTTGGAATCAAAGGCTGAAAAGAATAAGAATATTTTGACTAATACACAAAGATATTTCAATTGTGTATAAGCTGTTTGACTGGGGTTGTACATTAAGTTGTTACCTATAATAACCAAATTATTGAAGTGTTTTTTTTCCAGTACAAGTTTGAACACAAGCCAACTTGCTATAGGCAGTACCTACAGTTTTGTTTCTTCTCACATTTTCTATCAGTAACATACTTGTGTTCTTCCTATTTAATTTTTTTTTCTGTGTTCTATTGGACCCTCCCACTTTATAAAAATTTGCTGGCTGCCACAAAAGTTCAGTAAACAAAGAAGACCCCATATTTACATGTGAATTTTAAAATGGCTGCTGGGATCACACCCACCTGATTTATTATTTAAAATTGTTTGTGTACGTAAGAAGAGTCAATGAATGTTTTATACTTTATAGCTGGAAAAGGTAAACTTTGGAATAAATACACCTAAAAGAATGATCACCACCAATCATGGCGATTTTTTCAGGAATGGTTGACAATCTGGATATCTATGGAGACCCCTAAAGTCAGCAGACGGTTCCAGCCTTGCTGGGAACTGACCAGCCTACCATAATAAAGCAAAACTTAGGGTACCTGGTAAGACAGGAAGAAGCATAGCAATTGCTACCAAAGTACCTCTGCATACAACATAAATAATGTAACTTCATTAGTAAAACTCTCAGTACCTGCTGTTTGCGTTTCTCTTCCTCGTTTGCTGCAATTACTTCTTTTTCTTTCATCTGCAAAAATAAAAATATTTAAAAAATGAAGAACACACATACAGCATTTTGCGTACTTTGCAAGGGGCTATGATGTCAGAATTGCAGGCTTTCAACAACAATCTAAGCATGTTGACTGCTTCCTAAATGTGAAACTGTAAATTGACTTCCTTGTGGCAACATCCGCATCACAGAAAGGGTTTTGGAGATCTTTTTTTTCTTCTTTTCTTCTCACCAGTAAGAATACTCAGATCCTGACTACTTGCATTCCAAGGCCCTACGTATGGAAAGAAAACCACTCTTTGTGGTACTTGGTCACATTTTTGCCATGATTAATCAATCTGGATATTTACTAGATATTCAAATGGTACAACCCGGGGTATTGTGGGGGTACCACATCCTAAATACTCAAATTGTCCTGTGCACCCCAATAATTCTAAGGCCATATCCCTAAATTGATGACCTACAGGGGCTTTTAAATCGTCGCCTTTTGACTTTTTGGGGTACTGAATTTTGTGACAGTTTCACGGACACACAATTTTTGACCTGGGCATGTTGGGTATCTTTTTACGTGTTGTAACCTCATCTGTTCATATTTTACAAAAAAAATAGGTATTATATTGTGTTTTGGGGCACTAAATTTAATTTAAGTGCATTTTCCACAAAATGTTTGGGTTTGATAATAAATTGCGCTAATATCGTGCATCATACAAATTTGCAACTGCCACCATTTTTTTCTACAGGGTCTTGGCTTTCAGAAAATATATAATGTTTGGTGGTTTTAAGTAATTTTCAGGCCTAAAATGTGAATTATAACATGTGTGCATAAAACACGAAAAAATGCCTTGGTCCTTAAGGGGTTAAACAGCCTTTAAACATCACCGTGATCCAAGTAAGAAGTCCCTCTATCATCTTTAGTATTGCCATGCTTATAATTCAGCAAATTACACAAAAACGGCAACTGCGCAAATTAATAACTAGCATTTAAATAAGGTTCACGTGGAAGGGCTTTCCACAATACAAACACAAAAATTTCCCACCACACTTACCAGCTAGGCTGTAAAAAAAAACAATTATACTGTCTATTTGCATTAAAAACAGAGGCTTACCATTAAGTGTGTCCTCAATGAAAGTGAATAATCAGATAACACACTCATTAGAGGGTTAGTGACACTACAAAGGAGTTACCGACACCCCTGGTGCATTCTCCACAGGATAAGGATAGTGCCTGCAGAGTTCTTTAGCCCCCATACACGACATAAATGTAAAATTAATCACACATTATGATGAAGGGAAGAAAAGTGGTTAAAAAACATTTTTTTTGATAGGCGTGTTAAAAAAACAATGCATCACAAATTAAATGACAGCTAAGTCTAGAAATTTGCTTCCCTAAAACATACAGTATGAACCTTGCACATCAGCACACACCAAGGACCATGACATTCTAGTCCATTATTTATTCTTCAGAGTATCTACTACAGGTTCCTGTGTCCAGTTCGAAGAGAGCAGAGTCCAGGTTCGATGTGCTTTTACTGGGGCGGGCACAGCACAAATGCTGCAGTATGCATGAGAATGAATGCCAACAACTGGCTACTGTTATACAAATCAAAATGTCCCTTGCAGCTACCACATACAGTACATGTGACAGTCACTGACAGTGGCACAAAACGTACTAATGTTTGGGAAACATTAGCCCATACACATTGAATCTAGTTGTAAAATAATCGAATTTACAATATTAAGGCCCACATTAGTTTCAAGGGTCAAGCTTCCCCAATGGTAAAAAATACTGCTGCTCTTTGTCAACTGACATGACCTTGACAAAAACAAGCATTAGACCACAAATAACATTAAAAACATGTGGGGTTTTCAAGGCATCCCGAAAGCCCCAAGTTGTTTTTTGTGGTCTAATGAATCAGGGGTGTGGTGCCATGCTTCTGCATATTCATGCCCCCTGCTTTATCAAATCGCCATTGTTATAAAAACAATCATAAAAAAAAAAAAAATAATGATATTTCGTAAGCGATATTAAGTAATGCCACATTCATTTTAGATCATAAAGAACAAATTAACTGTCTTTTGATTCCATCTGTTTAAATCCTTACTGGCTGTGGGGCACGAGGAGTGAGAAGAGGAGCACCTAAGACCAAAATACAACAGTTTGACATGGCCCGGCCTACAATAAGAGTAACATTATTTAAGTCACAACAGGCTGTGGATGTGAATATGTTAAATTCTATAAGACATTTCTATGAAAGCTCCTCACATATGCTGCTGATCTATCTCAAACCACTTAAAAGTATCGGGTGGAACGGGCAGGAATTTACCTCTACAGCTTTTTTCTTCATTTCTAAACAGTGGGAATCACACTCCAGTGAAACGTGACCTCCACGTGCGGTGTTACATGGAAACTCCTACAAATGGAAAAAGGGAACAATGCTTTGATCAGCAAGTTCAAGAAGGTCACTATATCATGCAGCTCTAAGGAGGTACACAGATGAAATATCCAACATCTCCACATGTAAAATTCTGTTCATCATAAATTATGGAAATTTCAAAATATTAAAAGAAAAGTTCTAACTAATGTATGTAATGTGTAGACTACACAAGACTTGTGCTAGCTCTAAAGGAGTATTAAGGAAATGTATGCAATTACTCTGGTGCCACTAAAAAAGCCTTGGGACATATTGTAGATGTTTCTTAATAGATATTGGATAGATCTGACACATGGATATTTGGGAGATCCGACATTCAGCAAGGGCTTTGGTCAAACAAATGAATGCCAGATTGCGCATGAAGTGGGGATATAAACTAAAACACCAAGTTCTGGGGGAAAGGATAACTCTGTTGCAACAATAATCCTTAGATCTAACACCACAACAAAGAGGCTGCACACACTATAAGCACAGACTGTGGACAGAGCAGAATGAAAAACTAGGTAAATAAGCCTGAGGTCACCAGGCTAACAAGATCAGAGAAAAATATGTCCTTGATCTGTGGTGGAGACATGTCTTCTCCATCCATTGTAACTGCAAATAAAAACAAGGCCTGACAGAGCATCCAACAGAGTGAAATCATCTATACAGTCTACATTAAAAGCTGCTGGAACAAAAGACAGATTATTCTCCGAGCTTCATTAAAAGGATACAATCATATGTTTCACTGGATGGCCATTATGATTTATTACTGCAAAATGTATCTAAGCTTCAAAATGACCTTTTAAAACATTCACCCTAGTCCCCTCAAATGTCTGTACTTGCCTTTTCCAAGGCTGCAGCCTCTTGTGCTGTCTGCAGCTCGGCCGGTAAAAATCTAGAATCAGGTTGCCCTCACACTAACATTGGATAGATTTAAATGAGACATACCCGTAGAGAAGGAGCAATGTCTCATTCGGGCATATGGGATGTTAGTGCACAGGCGCAGCCTGTAATATTTAGCATCTGGAGAAAATGCATGCAAACATGGGAAGAATATACTACAGTTCAAGAATACGAGTTATAACATGCTAACACGTTAAAACAGTTTATCAGAATTCACTCTTACAAGGAGTACCTGTGGGGGTAACACTAACTGAGAATATCCACCCTTCGTAGTAAGGCAAACAATTTGGTAGCTCTGCTACCTAATAATAGACAGACCTAAAGCTCATGTGGATGTGTTATATTTTGCTGAGAAACTTTTCAGACACAAAACTGGATTTTGAAAACCACGTCATATAAGGGACCTGCTCTCTCCCATGATGTCTAATATACTTCCTCATCATTAGATTTTTTGTTTTGTATATTATGGCAAAACACCAAACCACACAGACTCTCAGAAAATACCTCAGACTACTTGTTCAGGACACAGCAGATCTGCTCTGTGAAAGAACTTAAAGTTCACACTGTTTTGCATACTATGATGCTGTGTGCACTATAGGAGGAATGCTTTTTCTTTCCAAAGCTATTCAAAATAGCAAAAAAAACCCTATGGAGAGATTAACGGCAAAGTGTAAATCACAAAAAAACAGAGCCAAAAAGGAAATGCTATGATTGCAGTCAGAAATGAAAAAATGCTTAACTGCTACTAACCAGTAAACTACTATATGCACATTATTAGGCTTCCTTGAAACGGCAAAGCTCAAGGTATAAATCATAAATTTCCCACACTTGTCTGACTTTGCAAAATTCGCTTAGTGGATGTCCCTTTCAGCAGCTTTCTGCCCAACATCCTTCGATCAGAAAATCGAAAGAGCCAAGTCGAACAGTAACTGAAGCCAATCAGCTATTTAGCGTGGATGAAGGAATTTGTTAGATTTTATTTTTTTTCAGTCTGTGGCCAGTGTATGGCCAGCTTATCAGTGAAGCCAGTAAAGCATTGAAAATGTAATCAGCAAATCATGGGTGCAATGCTCTGGCTCCTGCAGATTCTCCTTCCAAACAATGAATAGACTACAAGTGCAAGGACATCACCACACTTGTATTCCATCGAAAATGTTAAGTCCCTCTACCCAGGGGTGCGGGGGTCTGCAATGTGACCATGTTTCAGTTTCCAGGGTGTAAGATGAAACTTGGTCAGAAAAGTAAACTTTAAGATGTGGAAATTGAGGCTTTTATCTCACACAAAGCTCTACAAAGCTTCCAGGCTCCATGACCCAGAACAGAACTTAAGTCTGAGAAAATAAAACATTTTGCTCCACATCTACCATAAACCCTCAACTATACAGACCGTCTACAATCCTACCCACCAGTGCCTCACATTACATACTGTTGAACCACCAATTTCTAAGTTTATATGCAAACTGCAATTTTCCTATGGCAAAAGAACTTTAAAATAAAACAAATTGAGGTGTAAAGCACAGTAGTTCTTGGAAAACCAACATCTCTCATTGTCCTCAACGGATGATGGGTGTTATTTACTGAACATTATTACTCTTTTTACTACCTTATTAATGAGCTCAAGCAGATACTTGAATATGTTATAAAATGTCTATAATTTATTTTCTTCAGTCTGTTTTTTTTTTTATATGGCCATATTAGCAAATCTTTCACTTCGGCCCCATGCTCCTCAGTGGAGCAGGATATAGAACTAATATTAGCAGATCTAACAAATATATATGCAAACACACTGGACTTTATTAATAACCGTGCAAATATAATTGCGCTGACAAAGCAGAGAACGTACACTACAGAGAAATGTTCGTTTTGAAAAAACATTTTGTGGGGTCAGGTAGATATACCAACCTTCTTAATTCTCCGACAAGGGCATCGAAATTTAACTTTCTGGTTACACAGTAGGGAACAACTTCCCTGGTGACAAATCTCTTTGCATCGATGTCCACAAGACAGCTATTAAAAAAAAGGTGAATAAGCATCAACAATGAAAAGCATGTAGGCAATATGATTCACTTCAACATAAACATGAAAGGATACCCTGGGAAGCTTATAATTAAAAATCTAAACATAAAATGAAGGATCTTCCCCTCACCCTACCGGTTCTATACCTAAAAGTAAAAGACGTACAGAGTTGGGGTCCCTTCTTGAACAGTTGAGCAATGCTTTGCTAGTGTTTTTGGGATATAGCCAATGGTCACAGCCTGTTCTGCGCAAAGCAGAGGCACTAACTGACTGCCTAAACTGGGTATACTTTAAACAGGTTACTCCTCAACAAATTTAGCTTTAGTACAAGTATGAAAGAGTAGGAGACTTTCATTTCTGACAGTGTGCCCCCAACCCCAAACAGAGCAGTCAACGTATCTCCCGAGATCCATTTAATCTATTTGTGATAGTGGTCTATTCCAAAATCAGCTGCTGGCCAAGGAGCCTGCCCAATGACCAGCCATTAAGGCTGCCAGTCATGGATGATTAAGCAAGAAACAGTGAGATGTCTGAGTATATGCATATACCCTTCTCACACGGATGATGCTAAGGCTCAGAGGAGCAAGCTGTAGGCCAATCAAATCAACCTGGCATGCATCACCAATGCTCACATCTCCTGCCTAGATTTAAGTTAAAAAAAATGTCTTAACTAAAGTAAAAGCAACTAGAGTTCTTAAGGCCAGGACTGTGTTCAGCTGGACAAGGCCAATCAGTTCAGAATGCTATAGCAGCCTAGGAATAGGTTAACAGTAAAATAAACCTAGCTGGCATATACTTTGCATCTCCTAGACCTCCCAGTGTTACTTAACCTCCTTAACCTAACCACTTTCCATCTCGCACATGCACCTAATTGTTCTTTTAATTTATCATAATACATGCGTCATATTGCCCCATGGACCCTCCAGATCTATGATATAGAAGGACTCAATATTCTGACTACCATATAAATGGCTGTTATACATTATTCAACTCAAAGCAGAAGATGGGAAAGAAGTTAAAACATTGTAACCTTTATTAGCACAGTAAACGGGGCTAAAAACAAGGCCTCTGTGAATTTGTTAAATGGTTAATGAGTAAGCTGTCAGGAACAAAGTAGTCCATTGGCCAGGTGTCTGTCCAACCATATTGCCATTCTGGGCATGAGTTCACTCCTCAGAAAGCTGAATGAAACATGTGCTGTGAATAAAACAATTACTAGGAAAATGCATGTGCATGTTAGCCCTCTAGCCATGTACTTAGGCATTACCTAACATCAATGTGTAAGGCTGGATTTACACTGTTCCATGTGCATGCAACGTGCATGGTAACACACATGTGTAGGTGTTAATAGGCTCTGAGTTTTCCTTTGTCTTTCACACTAAACTGCAGCACATAGATCAAACCAAATGAATAATATTTCTACATGACATGCATGTTCATGCAGCAAAATGCAAGAGCTTTGCTGCATCAAAATAGACAAGGGTAAATAGGCCCTAATACCATGCACTCCAAAAAAAATCACCAGGCACCTTTACTTCCAGCAAATCAAAGAAGAGTGTGAACACATAAGCAACATACAGAACCATGTACTTATTGCATAGACACCACATGTTTTGCTTCACAGACCCTAAAACACGGACTACACATAGAATAAATAGTCACCAGCATGAAACTGCAGCACACCTTTTGACATAGCTAGGGTAAGCGTTTCAAATGTCAAAACTTCAATAGAATTTAGATTTAAATTAATCATATGTTATATATTAGCAGCTTACTGTTAAATTGATAGAAAAAACATACTTTCATAAAGTGCCAAAACCAGATGGAAATGTAGTCTACAAGCGATTACATTAATACAATCTCCTATCTACGGTTCAGTAAGCTTCCTTCCACAGGAAATCTGCCTGCTACCATCAAATTACACCATGTGAAAAGTCAAAGGAAAGAAACCGAGGACTATAAATGTCAGCAGACTTTCTAGTAAGCAGCTACAGCTAGAGACAGAGGCGTACTAGGGAGTCATGCAATATGAAACTCGGGTCAAGCAACAACACTTCTACAAAAAACCCATAGGGCAGAAAAACACCTTTAGGCAGCCAACATAAATAGTTCATGTCTGGCTATCAGCAATCCCACAGTTATACTGCTAAAACCCACCAAATTACCAGCAACATGCTATTTTATTCATGCCAATGGAAGCAGACTAATTGCAGGTGACTGATCTGTCTTCAAATCCCACTTATTTCCTAATGACAATACATTTTCTTTCAGGGGATTCCGGGCTGAACATTTTCTCAGGCTTCCTGAGTTGGTTCCTAACTGCATGTTTACTCAGAGGGACATACTCACTTTAACATGTATTCAAGCTGTCATTACCCTACAGTAATGATCTTAGCAGAACTGGCTATAAACATATCTTAAAGCTGAATAACAAATGGTTTCTACCTTCACACAATTTATTTGTCAAATGCTGTATTTGCAGTTTTGCTAAAGTAAAAAAAGTTATTTGGAATCTATGGGAGCTGGATAGATGTAACCAGAGGTCACTGAGACATAGGTGTTCAATTCAATGGCAGCAGCTTCCATGTGTGTCAATTAGCTATAATTAGAACTGCTGCACTATCCGCTCTAATATTTGTATTTATCATTTCTTATAATATATATCATATATGTCATCCAACCATAAAAAAATAGGGTCAATTCTATAGGCATAGAAATAAGCAGTGATCAGATGTGGACTACGTTCCCCAAATCTCTAATATTGTATTTATGGAAATAACAATGAACAGTATGTCTACAGTCATGTGAAAAAGAAAGTACACCCCCTTTGACTTCTAAGGTCTTAAGAAGCAAGACATGATAAAAATCATCTGGTCTTTAGCAGGTCTTCAAATTAGGTAAACACAACCTCAGATGAACAACACATACCATTTTACACTGTGTCATTATTTTACATACATAAAGCCAAAATGGAGAAGCCATGTGTGAAAAACTAAGTACACCTTATGATCCAATAGCTTGTAGAACCACCTTTAGCAGCAATAACTTGAAGTAATCGTTTTCTGTATGAGTTTCAGTCTCTCACATTGTGGAGGAATTTTGGCCCACTCTTCTTTACAACGCTGCTTCAGTTCATTAAGGTTTGCGGGCATTTGTTTTGCACAGCTTTTTTAAGCTCTCATGAGATTGTTCTCAAAGTAAAAAGTCATCTATGTACTTGATAATCAGAATGCCCTTGCAACGAAAAAAAATCCCACACATGGAGAAAGAACTTTTGTAAAAACCCTTGAAACCAAAGCCGACCCAACAGGGAAGAGCCACAAATTAATAATGAAGGTCACCTATTGCAAAACAAAGGAAATGCTGATGAGCTGGATACACAGGAATGTGTAGATACACATCCTTTATGCCTATGGAATCCAACAAAAATCGGCAATAACCAACTGAATGGATTACATCCAGAATTTGTAAAGATGTACAAATGCATTGATTGCTTTCAATCCAGAATCGGACTAAGTCTTCCACTAGGTTTGGGAAACGTAAACAGGTTTGAGTAAAAAAACCCTGTAAATGTTCTGCCAAAAGAACAGGAATTATTAACATCTGCATCTAACAGACATCGAACTGCAAAAAAAAGGTTCGTCCAACGCTGCCGAGACATATGAAGCCAGAACGTAAAGAACCGAGAAGGAGGAAGATGAAAATATATTCTGAAATTTGAGCTTCCCACGTCTCTGCAAATTCCATCAGGTGTCTCCCCACCAGATGTAGAAAAGGCGGTAGCAGACCTTCATGCTAAAACAGAATTTTTAGCTGCCAAGGACGTCTAGCAGGTCCAAGAGTTTGGAAGTGTAAGACATCTTTTTAAACTGGGGAGATGGAAAAGAAGGAGCTTGCTTACAACAATGATCCCTATTTTTACACATCCAAGGTAAGTGTTCACTTTTACCTCCCGTAGCTTTTTTAAATCAAGGAATCCACGGTAGTTTCAAAATGATGACTTCTCATGTAGGGTAAACGCAAAAGTCTCTTATTGCATTGGGGTTCCGTCGACCAGCACTTAACCCGATAGCTCTGCGTATCTGAATGGAAGAGGCGGACACACAAGACAACAGGCAACAAGCATCAAGAATTGCATCACAACAAGCAGCAGTCTACTGATCCAGACAACAAAAATGTGGATCAACTCCAGCAGTCGACTGTTATGTTGCGAAAGATTGTCCAGGTAGCCAAAGTCCTTGAAAAAAGGATCATAACCATATTGTTTAAGGAGATGAACCAGTGTGTTTTTTTAAAAGCAAAATAATCCGGAAAGGATACAGGGACATAAACGCCTAAGAACCAGAAATTGCTTATCTGGAATTTCCAAAACCTTATATAAAAAACAATCAAAAATAGGATCAAGGGGAAAAAAACCTTGAAGACGCGCTAAGGTTTTTTTAGACTAGCAATCACAGAAGTAGAAATAATATCCTCTAATTTCAAAGAGGAACGCACAGTCTCAATGAAGAAGGCAACCGTTACTTTCTGAAGCTGAGTGAATCTTTCATAGCCCTACTAGTGAATCAATATAGTATAGTGTTTACGACAAGCATACATTAGGTGTATTATATTCATGAGCTGAATCTATGTGCCATGTTCCTTAATCAAGGAAGGAAAGAGTGCGCTCCCCAGGCACCTAGGTAAGTGTCACCAATGCCTGGCCACTGTATAACTTTAACAAGCGTTGCCGCTCCTTATGGAGTCATCAATAGCCAGGGAAATGAAAAGTTAGTTTTTTTCCCCCCGCAGCAAGTCTGAGCAGAAATAAAGAGAGCTCCTCCATGTGGCCAACTTGTGAAATGCGTAAAGTATAACAAGCACAGGTGACCATAGCAATACCTCAGTGGTCTTGAAATGTATAGAACACTTGTGACTGGAAGAACCAGAAACATCAGTGACACCAATGTAAATAAAACATGTAAATAAATGTAATGTAAATGTAAATAAAA